AACCACAACTCCCCTTTCTACCCTAGACATATATTTGATTCCTGGGCCGTGCATCTTGTATATACATTTTTCTAATTTGGGGAGGGGAAGGGGAATAACAAAATGCTGAAACTAGGACACAGGTTGACCCATTGTAACAAGAGGCGAGGCGTACAAGACACTGTTTTAAAAACGAACTTTACAACTTGGGAAGAGAAGGGATAGTAGGGGAAAAACAAAGGAGGGGCTAACAATGCTCGATAGGAATTGTACTCATTACCTTACTCATGTAATTGTAACCCCTGTGTAGAGTATCTTTATAATAAAAAAAAAAAAGATTTTTTTTCTGTCAGTCATTGGGCTTGAACTCAGGGCCTGTGTGCTATCCCTGAGCTTTTTCGTGCAAAGCTAGCGAATCTATACTAGACATAAGATAGAATTTGAAGAATCTATCCTAGACATAGATAGATTTTTTTTTTTTTTTGGTCAGTCATGGGGCTTGAACTCTGGGCTTGAGCGCTGTCCCTCAGCTCTTCAGCTCAAGGCAAGCGCTCTACTGCTTGAGCTACAACACTACTTCTGCTTTTCTAGTGGTTTATTGGAGATAAGAGTCTCACGGACCTTCCTTGCCCAGACTGGCTTTGAACCATGATCCTCAGATCTCAGCCTCCTGAGTAACTAGGATTACAGGCGTGAGCCACCGGCGCCCAGCATAGATACATACATTTTAAAGATTTTTTTTCTTTTGTCAGTCATTTGGCTTGTGTGCTATACCTGAGCTTATTTTGTTCAAAGCTAACACTTTACCACTTTAAACCACAACAACCCTTTCTACCCTAGACATATATTTAGAAATGCTTTGCCTCAAATTTACTTGCTGTAGCCTTTCCTTTATCAAAACAACACTGGGATATTAAAATCTCAGTTGCCAACAGTGTGTTCCCTGCTGTTATGTATATCCTTACCACTAGCACAAAATCCAACATTCACAGGGACCCAAAAGTATTTATGAGTTTAAAGAGGAAAGAAAATGCTCATATAAGAAATATAATTCTAGGGGCTGGGAAGGTGGCTCGGTGGTAGAGTGCTTGCCTTGCATGCCTGAGGCCCTGGATTCGATTCCTCAGCGCCACATAAGCAAAAAGAAAAAAGCGGAAGTGGCACTGTGGCTCCAGTGGTAGAGCACTAGCCTTGAGCTGAAGAGCTGAGGGACAGTGCCCAGGCCCAGAGTTCAAACCCCACGACTGGACCCAAAAAAATAAAATCCTATTTTAAAATGACTGCATATTTAAAGACAGAAAACAATTGTATATAGAATGTTGTCTGTGTTGTGTGAGTTCTGAAAGACAGGATTAAAGGTGATTTTCTGTATTTTCTTGATACTCTCAGTCGTGGAGCACATATTTGTTGGTGTGACAGGCAATTAAGCATGTTTCTCAAGGGTAGGACAGCTAAGAAAGTAATGAGGAGAAACATTACAGACTGTTCTTTACATTAGTGAGCTTGTTACTCATATTCTCAAAAGAAATTATAACAATGATGACTTGGAAGTAATGATAGTTAGAATTTCTAAGACACTGTTTTAGGACAAGAAAGGGATGATCACAAGAAAGATCTAAATTTCACACAGCTTGACTTGCCTGCCACAGTTCCACTTCCAGCTTTTTGGTGGTGAACTGGAGATAAGAGTCTCAAGGACTTTTACTACTTAGGCTGACTTTGAACCTCAGTCCTCAGATATCAGCCTCCTGAATAGCTAGGATTATAAGAGTGAGTTACTAGCACCCAGTTCCCTTCCCCTTCTAAAAACAACTTTAACAGGTTTCATTGTTTTGTTTCAAACATGCAAATAAACCATGTGGACTATATTCATCCTCAATCACCCTCTTTGCTAGCCCTCTAGTGCACTGTCTTTGTAACAAGAAGGGAAATTTCTAGGTGGACTGTTGGAAGGTTAGTAATGTACCAGTGAGCACATCAGATTTTTTTTCCCCCCTAACTAGCATTTTTCTAAAGGAAACTGAAGAAGATACCTCTTCTGGGGTGGGGATAACAGTTGTGCTACATCCCAGTATTTTGTTGGAAAATATAATTAAGTGTTTAAATGAACTGGCAGTTGTTAGAGAGTTGTTGGAGTGTTGCCTGACATTACTGTGAATGCTGTGTGTTTTATTAGTATGAAAATACATGTTGTTTTTTTTGTTTTTTTTTTTTTTTGTCGGTCGTGGGGCTTGAACTCTGGGCCTGGGCGCTGTCCCTCAGCTCTTCAGCTCAAGGCGAGCGCTCTACCACTTGAGCTACAGTGCCACTTCCGGTTTTCTGGTGGTTTATTGGAGATAGGAGTCTCATGGTCTCTCCTGCCTGGGCTGGCTTTGAACCGTGATCCTCAGATCTCAGCCTCCTGAGTAGCTAGGATTACAGGCGTGAGTCACCAGCGCCCGGCTGAAAATACATAAGTTTTGCTTTTGCCTTTTCTCTTGAAAGGTTTCAAGAGTGTAGAAAAGCAAGAGCATCTCTATTGGCTGTATGTGACCCTCATAACTCCCTTCACCCATAAAGTATAGGAAAATGTCAGTAATGGGTCTTAAGTGGGTATGTTTTGTGTTATTTCGTTTTAAGTGAAGTCCTGAGTAAATTGAAAGAATTACAGAGATGTGTTTAGAGACTTAACCACAGTTAATGAGCTTGCCTCTCATTCACAATCCGGCCATGCTTGCATGGCTGCTGATCCACACATGCCCCAGCCTTTGCACGAAACATGAGCTCCCTGGCCTTTTACCTGCTTCCCACATGGACAAAGTCTTGTGCATCTTGGTTAGGTTAAACAGACTACAGCCTGCTGCTACTCCAGCCTCAGGACATATTTATGAGCCTCCTTCCCGTCCATCTCCCTCTGCACACGTCTCACTGTCCGCTGTCTCCTTTGTGGGCTGCTGAGAGCAACTCCCTCCCGAGTGAAGGCTAGCCTTATCTGATTTTTGGTGAGGCTGCTATGTTAGCTGCAATGTGTTTAAAAGGAGCCCGAGGCTTTCTCTTCGCTTGAGAAATTCAGCTCTTAGGAACATCAAATGGAGTATGACTGTTCAACTTCTTTTTCCACCAGTGCATTTGGAATTCTCTTTCACTTCTCAGGTGCATTTTCCTGCATCACATTTCCAGGTGGAATTACAGGATCACCTCTTCTCTTCCATTGCTCCCAGCACCCGTCTCCCTCCCCAAAGTGTTTGGAATGTTCTAGATCTTTGTCTCACAACCATCCTCATGTAATGGTCAGTGTCTGTCCTGTGTCTTTGCCTCTCTAGTCATGGTGTCTGAGCTTCATTTACACTTTGCGGTCTGTGTTATACTCCCTGATTATATAGCAAGCAGAGGAAATTCTGCTTCCAGCTCAGTTGAACCTTTAGCTGGTAGCTGCCATTCCAGCCTACATTAAGAAAGCTATTGAGCCCCCAAATCTCAAGGGCAATGTACTCTCTCCTCATATCTCTTTTGCAGCAAGACCTTCATCTCTACTAACTGGCTTTTTTTTTTTCATAATGCCTACTTAGCCCCTTTGATATGGAACTGCACCCCCTACCCCAAGTTAAGATCCTCTTTCCAGTGCACTCTGGTTGGCTGGACAGGGAGAAGCTAATGTCTTAGTGTTTTCTTATTCTTGGGAAAGAAAAAAGTAGCGACACAATTAAAAATTGGTCTCCAAAGCCAAAAATTATTTCAAAACATCACTTATGTCTTCTGCCTGCACAAATGATAGCCTGTCCTTGACAAAGTCAAGGCCAGAGATTGGGCCCTGGAACTTAGTCTGTTTATACAAGTCCATTATTGTTTTGATTTCCATTTTCCTGAGGAAATCATTGTAAACAGTAAAGTTCTCAGAAGCACTCCTGCAGTAATAAACATAAACACAGCATTGCACTGCAGTAAATCCCTAGGTCACCTAAATGTAACCTCTGCACTAGACGTGGCCCATCTATTGGTGAAGGTGATGCAGTCAGGAATCTCAGGTCAGTCCTGGTCTCAACTCTTGCCCCATCCTTCCCTGCTGTGAGCTGGGAAGCTGCTCACCCGTCCCCTCCCCACTGTCCAATGTGGAGGCAGAGCCACACCACCTGTTGTGCTTTGCAGGCTGTCCTGTGGAGAGAGACTGACAGTGCTGAGCGCTCCAGAAGAAATGTAAATCAAGGCATTTCTGCGCTCTTGTTCAGGAGTTATAATCCATTCTCAAAGGCTCAAACAACCAGGCCTCCTTTAGCAATACTGCTGTGATCAAACTACAGCTCACATTTTTTCAGAAACTGTTGCCATTGTCTGTTCTGGAAAAAGGAATACATTTCCAAAGCACCGAAGTAGCCATGGGAAGAGCTGTGACTAATGTTACCATTGGCACCAAGTAGTGACTTGGCACAAATCATGAAAAGGTAAAGCAGAACACAGCCCACCAAGCCTTGGGTAAGAGGCCGTCTCCCTCTCTTTCGTGGCTTTGAAAGAAACAAGACTGAATAACACAGAGCTATGGAATTCTTGTATAGGTGACTGTTCTCCCTAGGCCAGTATGGGCTTTTCTGTATTTCAGATGATGATGGTGGTGATCCTAGCTCTTACACAGGTCTTCCAGTGAGCCCATCCCCATATTATTTATACATACCATCTGAGGCTCCCTGGTAGGCAGATGCTGCCATCATCACCATTTAATAAATGAGTAACTCAAGATAGAGAGGTAAAAGAGGTGAACAGCTGCCAAGTGGTGGAACCCATGGGTTCTATCTGTGAGCCTGTGTGGACTGGCGGCAAGTTGTTAGGGCCTATTGCCTGTGGATCAAAAGGAAACAATGTAGCCAGAAAATCTAGGTTTGGTGGCTCATACATGTAATCACAGCAACTCACCTAAAAATCTTAGCACATAGGAGGCTGAGGCAGGAGCATCGTAGGTTAAAGGCTAACCTGGGCTACCTGTCTAGACCTTATCTCAAAAAAAAACCTAAAACTAAATAAGATTCAGTGCAGTGGCTGCTGTCTTCTAGGAAGAGAATGGAGACTACACATATGTGGAAAGAGTGAAGATACCCTTGGATCACGGGACCCTGTTAATCATGGAAGGAGCCACACAAGCTGACTGGCAGGTAGTGATGGATGGGTAGATGCCGGTAATACAGATTCTCTCTGGAGGCAGCTTCTTGGCTGATGGAGAAGTTTTGTTTTTGTTTTTTTGTTTTTTTTGTCAGTTATGGGGGTTGAACTCTGTGCTTGGGCGCTGTCCCTCAGCTCTTTAGCTCAAGGCAAGCTCGCTACCGCTTCAGCCACAACACCACTTCCGATTTATTGGGGATAAGAGTCTCACAGACTTTCCTGCCCAGGCTGGCTTTGAACAGTGATCCTCAGATCTCAACCTCCTGAGTAGCTAGGATTACAGGTGTGAGCCACCGGCATCTGGCCTGATGGAGAAGTATTTATTTCTAAGTAAACATGATAAAAAGCAAGTTGTGAGGTGTACCCGTGGCTCATGCCTATAATCCTAGTTACTCAGGAGGCTGAGATCTGAGTCACTGCTTGAAGCCAACCCTGAGCAGGAAAGTCTGTGTCTTATTTCCAAAAACTGGAAGTAGAACTGTGGCTAAAAGTGATAGAGCACTAGCCTTGAGCAAAAGAGCTCAGGGACAGTGCCTAGGCCCTATGTTCGACAAGAAAAAGCAGGTTGCTCTAATAATAAGCCAAGAGGCAGTAAATTGGCATCTCCAAGGAGTCTTGGAATCAATGGCAGTAAGAATAGACAACTTATCACTTAATCACAATTAAAAAAAAAAAAAAGAACCTCGGGGAAGGTAGGGAGGGGGTAACTGCTCAATAGGAAGTGTACTCATTACCTTGCTCATGTAACTGTAACCCTCTGTATAATATCTTTACAATAAAAAATTAAAATAAAAAAAATCACATCTGTTGTTCACAAACATCTTTATAGTGGGAAAAAAAAAGAATAGACAACTTGAGCAGCAATATCTAGTGTATATATATTTTTTGGTGTCGGTACTGGGGCTTGAACTCAAAGCCTGGGCACTGTCCTGAAGGTTGTTCACTTAAGGCTAGCCACTCTTCCAGTTGAGCCATACCTCCACTTCCAGATTTTTTTTTTTTTTTTTTTTTTTTTGCTGGTTAATTGGAGAAAAGAGTCTCAATCTCTGACACTTTTCCTGCCCAGGCTGGCTTTGAACCATATCCTCAGATCTCAATCTCCTGAATAGCTAGGATTGTAAGCATGAGCCACTAGTGCCTGACTGATGATAGTGTTCTGTATCCAAGCTGGCGCCATCAGTAACCACTAGCTCCCTGTGAACATTAACTACTTAACTGTGACTATGCGTTTTAGTTCATTTACATTCCAGTCCGTTCAGGTGGCTAGTGGTTAACACTTTGCTCCTCTCAACTCCTCAGTGAGGCCAGGCCATTTTTAGGCCAGATATTTTTTAAGGTATGCATATTATGGTGTAAACTCTTAACATGAGAGTCAAGTCCCATGCCTCTCTTTGGCCTCGTCCATTTGTGTTTTTCTTATGAGATTTGGAAAAGCGGCATAGGAGGCTGAGAGGAGCCGCAGTTAGAGAGACAAGCGTGCCTGGCTGCCAGGGTGCTGGCACGGGCGCAGGGTGCTCAGCTGGAGATGTGCTTCAGAGGAGGAGAATGTTTCCAGAAGACATCAGAGAGCTGAAACGCTGCTCATTTCGACAGGGGTAAAATGGAAATGTGTCCAGATCCTCATAAATAAGTCGTAAATTGCTTCCAACTAAAAAATGTGTGTGTTTATGTCAGTTATTTATATTTCCATTTAGCATCGTGTGCCCAAGGAATACCACTCCAGAGAACCGAGAGTAAACCTGACCTTTCGGACCATTTATCCAGACCCAAGAGGGGCACCCCAGTGATGGGAGGTCTTCACAGAAGCCTCTGAGCAAGGCCCACGCAGCCCCTCTGCTGGAGTCTCTCCAAGAAGATGGTGACCTTTGCTTCCCAGCTCCGAGTCTTAAGGAGAACCAGCAGTTCACGTTGGTAATATGTCAGCTGTGGGAAGTTATTCTAAAGCACATCTCAAAATCAAGCATTACCTTCAGGCACATTAAAAACAGCTCTAGCTGTGCTTATAGACAATTGTTCTGCCAATTTATTTATCTTTTTCCCTTCCCTCCCTCCCCCACCCGCCCCCCTATGGCCTTGCACTTGAAGAAACCCGAATGGCCTTGTGCCTCTGGGAAAGGTCCGCACGTGTTTGTGTCTTGTGACGTTAGCAAAGTGGAGATATAAATATGCGTCAGTGACTCTGGAGCCTTCTGTAGGCAGACAGCTGCTGAAACCCAAACAGAGGTGGCTTCATGGGGCTTTGTGGAAGTTTGTCTTGACTCCTTAATATCTTGGCTCGTGGGCTTTTGTAATGGAAATCTGCATGCTTGGGGGCGGGAGGGGGAACACTGTTTAACTGAGTCTCCCTGCCCACTGTCTTCCTGAGACACACTCAGGCTACAGGCTTTCACACAGAGGGAAAGCTGCATGCTCTGCGCTACACTCAGGCAAATACCTGGGACCCTTTGTAATGCAAGAGAAACCCTGCACTCTGAAGGGAGGAATAACCGAAGGTGTCATGAGAAGTAGCAAGCTGAAATTTTGGCTGAAGAGCAGCAAAAGTCCTGGTTAGTGACAGCTGGTCCACATAGATTAGTTTCCCCTAGAGAATGACGTGAGTCATTTAACCCCAGCCAGATAGAAGCTGGAGTGATTGTGCAGGGAGTAGACTTGATGACCTCATGCTCTGCTTACCTGAGACTTCAGACTCCCTGTGACTAAGGCTCTCTCTGACTGACTCACTGCTTTCTTATGCAAGAGCTCCTGAAGTTCAAGGGTTAGTCTGTGATGTCACCCAGGTTCCCAAAACAAAACACAGTGGCTGCACCTTGTGGCATCATGAAAGCACGAGTCTCCTTGACCTTTGACTCAAGAGCAGGATGCCAGATGAACTCCCAACCAAAGAAAGGAAAACCTGAAAGACAATATAAATGGATGCAAGTAGGACACAAGAGTTAGAGTTTCTCTCTTGGCCTGAGGGGGGAAATTGACAGTAGTACCTTCTTGGGTTTTAGCCTGTTTCCATCCATGCCGTCAGAATGACGATCCTCATCATCTCTGGCTCCTTGCATTGAGGTCTCTATCTTTTTAAAGCATATATAGGGCTGGGAAGGTGGCTCAGTGGTAGAGTGCTTGCCTTGAATGCTTGAGGCCCTGGGTTCGATTCCTCAGCACCACATAAGCAGGAAAAAAAAAAGCCGGAAGTGGCGCTGTGGCTCCAGTGGTAGAACACTAGCCTTGACCTGAGCTGAAGAGCTGGGGAACAGCACCCAGGCCCAGAGTTCAGGCCCCACGACCAGACCCAAAAAAAATAAAATAAAGCATATATAACTCCTTCCTGCCAGAAACACTAAATGCTGTATACAATTTGAACATCGTTATTAAGCCTTCCTGGAAGGTACAAATCACTATAAACATAAAATAAACCTCTTAATTCCTAGGTGTTCTCCTATTACAGCCAACAAAACCTGGCTGGGGTAGTACAGCCAGCTTTGGCTAGGAGTCGGATGCCTGACAAAGAAATCCCCCCTCTGTTCCTTGTAAGTAAAGAGATCAGCAAGCAAATGGCTCCAGGTCTCCCAGTATCCTCTCCTCCCCTCCTCTAATGTAGGGCTACCACCTTCCTTTGCTCACCTGTGCATTGGATCTCTCTACTCCTTACACCCCTGTCAGTCAGGAAAATATTTCTTCTTTCCAGCCAATAGGCTGGGTCAACACCCGGGTTTCAGTCAGAGTGCTGCAAATCGTCCCCATTACTCCAGACTCCATATGCCACAGCTGCCATTGATTTCCACACCTGAGAAAATGTCCCTTCTACAGTGTCAGCTAGGTACTTGCGATGTTTAGGAATGGATGGGAATTCCAGAACATGATCAAGGACAGCCCTGTTCAATGACTACATCAGCCTGTTGCCGTTTTACTGCTGATAGGTCTTACCTGGGAACTGGGGTGAAGTTACTTTTGCTAACCTTACAGGCAGAGTAGAGGAAGCAGATGCAACAGCTGCAGCATCAAGAATAGGTTACTTTTTTTTTTTTTTAAGCTTCCTTTTATTTGGGGGGTGGGGTGTGGAGTAAGCTTCAGCAAACTGCTAGCGTTGTCCTGGGAGCCATTATACAGAACCCCTAGTTCCCCACCCCCACCCCAGTGCCCCAAGGACAGGATACTATCCTGTCCAAGGAAGCTGAGTCTCCAAGAGCTTAGTTACATAGTTGAATAGGAGTAGTAGTGGCAGAGCAGATTTCAAACCATTGGTGAGTCCCTGAACCTGGTGCTTCTTGCTCTGCCTTGCTGCGTGGAGTCCTCTGACAGCACCCCTGAGAGCCTGAACCCCACGCTTTGCTCCAGCAGAGACCAGTAGATCACCTATTGGTCCCCTTCTTTCTTGCACATCAGGGCAGGTGTCTGCATCTCATTTTCCCTTAACCAGCTCAAGCATGAGTTTCTTGTGAGAAGCTCTGCTGCCCACTAGCCCAGCCACTTAACTGAGAAGGTTACTTGAAGGAGACAATTTCATGTCAGGTGAATTTAGAAATATTCACCGTGGGCAGGGAATATGCCTTAGTGGTAGAGTGCTAGCCTAGTATGCATGAAGCCCTGGGGTTCAGTTCCTCATAAAAAAAAAGCCAGACGTGGCACTGTGGCCCAAATGGTAGAGTTTTACCCTTGAGCACAGAGAAGACCAGGGACAGAACCCAGGCCCTGACCTGAGTTCAGGCCCCCGGACTGGCAAAAAAAAAAAAAAATTCACCAACCCTCCCAGCAGCTGTAGGAGTTTTCCCCATGACCCCTTCCCTCAGCCTTCTCTGTGAGTACCTTTGGGGATATCAGATTGTATTCCAAGCATTGAAATCAGGGTCTACTTGACTCACATTAACTGTGAGTCAAGCTGCTGGTGATTCCTAATGATTCTGGGTCCCAGATTCTTGGGGCTCCATAGCTTTCTAACGGAGCCTGTGCACCCAGTCACCGGCACCAGAACCTGGGTCCATGTCACAGCAACCCAGAAAGAGTTAGGCCAGCAGTGAGCAGAATGCTCCTGTTGGAGGATTTCAGAGAAAATCCTGACAAAATGATGCATTCCTGCTCTGCTGGGAATATTTCTTCTTGAGTTCTGGCAGCTTTTTCCTGGCTGCAGAATATCTAAGGCCCACTTTGCCTTTTCTGGTCATAAACACTTGGGGTGTTGAATCTGAAGTCTTGATTACTTTATTTTGCTTAACGGTGCCTTTGAAAAAAGCTTGAGTGTTTCCATAGTGATGCATTCTGTTTGTTTAAATCTCTGTACTTATACACGATTCCACCCACACACTCCCTTCCCAGGGACTAGTATACAATTGCCCTTTCCCCTTGGGTCTTTGCTCATGAGAAGAGATCCACATATGACAGACACCCTGTCTACTGCCTGCTGCTGGAATCGCTCCTTCCATAGGATTCCTGTGTCTAGGGTCAATAGGCAAATGACTTTGATGTTTGTTCACTAGCTAATGGTGCCTTTCCCAGCTGGTTGAGTAGTCATGCGCCTTCTGCTATAAAAGCCTTCCCCAGCCTGTGACTGGAGCTCCATGCTGGGCTGGGCTGGGCTGTTAGTGCTAAAGCTGAGGGGGGGCAGTGTCAGAGATCAGCACCAGAAACCGCTGGAAAATCCAGGAGCCCAGCACCGCGCGTGTGTGATAGGGTCGCGAGGATGGTTTCTGTGGCCTCACTCCCCCTCTTGGGAGCCTGATGTCACTGTCAGCACAGGGACGCTGGTCCTCCTGTGCCCTTCGGGAGGATGATGTGTCACCGCTCTGGCAGAGCCACACTGCTGGATCCCGATCCTCCCCCAAAGCCAACATACGGGGAAACTGAGGCACCAGAAGGAGTTACCAGATGCCAGGCCCCAGGCTCAGCGGCCAGCCAGCCTTGCCAGCGGGCGTTGTTAGGGTCTGGGCCTCGAGTTCCCCCGCGTCCCGCCCGGGCCGGCCCGGGCCTGCCGCGGGCTGAGCTTTCCCCGGGCCTCTTCCCGGAAAGCAGCGCGGGACGGCGCGGGGCAGGAAGCAGGAGGAAGTGGTGGGCCGCGCGCGCACGCGCACGGGAGGGCCGCGTGATGGTGATGGGGCGCAATTAGCCACCCCCGCAGGAAGGGCGCGGGCGCGCGCGGTGACGCCGACGGCCTGCCTGCCTGCCGCGCTGCGCCGCCTTCCCCGCCCCCGGGGCCGGAGCCCCGCGCGGGAGGCGGGACAGGGGCCGGGGGCGCACACCGAAGCGGCCTCCCCGGGGGACTCGGGCGGGCCTCACGCGTGGCACACGCTCAGAAATACAGTTCCTTTGCGTGGCGCCTTTCCCACGCCCGCCCGCCCGCCTCGGCCTTCACCCCCGCCTCCCCGGGTGGGCGCAGGAGCTGGGCCTGCCCCCCCCCCTTCCTGGAGAGCGCTCCCAGGTGCCAGCCTGGCTCCCTGGCCAGCTCAGCTTGCGCCTGGGAGCCAGGCCACAAGGTCCCCGGGTCTTCGCTCTCCTAAGGCGCCATCCCTGGCGGAATCCAGGATTCCAAGCCCTGCAAGCAGGTCACCCCCCGACCAGGCACAGAGGCAGCCCCCGCCAGTCATATTGTTCGTTTGTGCTTGCTGGCCATTTCTAAACCCTGTACAGAACACGCTGGCCTGGAAGATTAAACAAGATTGTCAGGCTGGAATTCAGTTCAGGACCGAAGCTTTTATGTCTAGAGATTGTGTGTCAGAGGTAGTGGGGGACGGATAAAAGAAAGACACTATCCCTTCCCTTGCAGGATGGCATTAAACCAGCGTGGCTTTTATTTTCTTTTGCAAAATTAGTCCTCCTTACCAGAAAGGAGTATGTGTTCTTTGCAAGAAATTACAAAGATAAAAAGGAAAAATCATTTTGTAACTTCATAAGCCTTAGACGACAAGCTTTCCCATTTTGCAGTACATTTTTCTACACATTTGAGTACTCGAAAAAAAGAAAGTTATGTCATACTGAATTTATAGGTTAGCCTTTTCCTACTTATTTACATTGGTGCATGACAAG